TCCTGCTTGTTATTTATATGCCTCAGTTTGTTGGGGTGTTTGGTATTACTTCCGGTTCTGTTTCTCAGTGGTTTGTACACAGGGTCTAATTCAATGTGTTTGCTGATGGAGTTCTGGTTAGAATACCAGGCCTCCAGGAATTCCCTGGCGTGTCTCTGTTTGGCTTGTGCAATTATGGATGTGTTGTCCCAGTCAGATTTGTGTCCCTCTTTGTCCGTGTATATGAGACAAGTGAGAATTGATTGTGGCTCTTGGTGGTTAGTGGTGTTTGTGTATCTGTATTGTCAGTTTTCTTCCGGTTTGGCCTATGTAATGTTTCTCACAGTCCTTGCATGGTATTTTGTATATTATACTGGTTTTGCTGGTTCTGGGTATGGGATCCTTTATGTTCGTCAGTAGCTGTTATTGTAGCTGTTAGCCCATGCAGCTATCAAACAAGCTTCTGAGTTCTTGGCTTGAGTACATTCTGATAGTGAGTCAGAATTGAAACAAATTTCAAAGAGTATCAACTGAAATATGTTAAGACAATCTTTTATTATGGGAAAGCATTCTTTTATGATAAAGATGATTAATTCATGTAAAAATATTTGTTGCCTTCAAACTGTTCCTAAATACAATCAATCAAAGTAACGTTACACAGAAACTATGCTAAAATTAGCAATACATTTGCTTAAACATGTTGAAAAGTTAAAAAGAAATGTATTTAAACAGCAGATCACACAGTGATAAACTACCACACATTTGTTGAAAGACTCTAATCATTGGTATCTTTATCACTGACTCTAAGGTACAAAACTTTAAACAACTTGCATTTACAGAGCGACTTTAATGTAATAAACCTCACGAAGCACTTCACAGGAGTTTAATTAAATTAAAATCTGGCACTAGGTCTGCGTTATGAAATATTTAGACATGTGAAAGAGGTTACTTCGAAGGAGCAGCAACATAAAGGAGGAAATGTGAGGTGGGGAGGGTTAGGGAGTGAAAGCCGCCACTGGGTCCAGGGATTAAAATCCTGGATGTTCAAGAACCTAGAAACAGGGGAGCTGCAGAGATCTCAGAGGGTTGAGAGCAGGAGTTTACAGAGATTAGGAGAGGTGAGGCCATTGAAGGATTTGAAAACAAGGGTGAGAATTTTAATATGGGAACATTCTAATGATGCAAAGATTCTACACGTTTTGATGGTGTCCTGGTCATTACAGTTCTCGGAAGATTTTTGGTTTTTCAAAATCCCTGGTTTCCACGTCTTATTCATTTGAAATCGACTCCTGGTTGTATCTGATTGTGAATTAGGGGTGGCTCAATGCTGAGAGTCATGGCTGGGAGTTGGGAAGCAGGAGTCAGTGTTGGCACAAAGGATTTTCCGGGGCTGTGGGATGTTGGGAGTTTGGGGCTGGTGGGGATGGGTGTGTTTTGTGGTACCCTCTTGGAGAGAATGCAGGAGACAAACTGACCAAGAAGCCAGTGGAAAATGCTGTGAAGGTGAGGAGAGGGAGAGTTTGAGGTAGAGTGCTCAGGCGCATGAGGAAGTGCCCCAGAGACAGGGAAACTAGTGCTGGCTTAGAATTTGTGAATTATGCCACGTCTGGAGAGATGTTGCGACAGGAAATTGAGATGTGTTGTCCCTCCTCAATATTCAGAGCTGTGACCTTGATATGATGATTATCGCTTGAAGTACTAACTGACCAATAAGTTCAAAATCTAAAAGCAGATGAAAATAACAGGAGCAACACTTTAAAGGGGGAAGATGAACATTCAAAGCCCATTTTTAATTTGGAGATAGTAGGAACTGCAGATGCTGGAGAATCTGAGATAACAAGGTGTAAAACTGGATGAACACAGCAGGCCAAGCAGCATCAGAGGAGCAGGAGCTTTCTGAAGAAGGGTCTAGGCCCGAAACGTTAGCGTTCCTGCTCCTCTGATGCTGCTGGGCCTGCTGTGTTCATCCAGCTCTACACCTTGCTATCTCCCATTTTTAATTTTCTGTTTTTTAAATTCTACAGAATTCAACACATTTGCATGACAGAATCTACATCACATTCATAGCTTCAATTTATCGAGACATAATATGGGGAAAAGATACAAACAACCACAATAAGTATTCTTTTAACAGTAGTTTCATCTCCCAGTCCTGAAAGTGACTCTCACTGGAGTACGCCAGGGTCCCACACACATTGGCTCTCACTGGGGTACAGTCCCACACACACTGACTCTCACTGGGGTACAGTCCCACACACACTGACTCTCACTGGGGTACGGGGTCCCCCACACACTGACTGTCACTGGGGTACGGTCCCACACACACTGACTCTCACTGGGGTACGGTCCCACACACACTGAC